CAGGACATGTATGAGGAGAGCAGGACATGGTAGACTGGTAGAGGACATGTATGAGGACAGTAGGACAGTGGGAGGACAGTAGGACAGTGGTGAGATGTGCTGTAGGAGTGACAGATATCTTCAAGGTGGAGGTGGATGTGCATCAAGGATCAGCTCTGAGCCCCTTATTGTTTGCATTGGTGATGGACCAACTACCAGATGAGGTCAGGCAGGAATTCTCGTGGACTATGATGTTTGCAGATGACATTGTGATTTGCAGTGAGAGTGGATGGAGAAACGTTTCAGGGGTGATTTGTGACAAAAGAGTGGCAGCAAAGGTCAAAGGAAATGCTTACAAGACAGTCATGAGACCAGCTACTGCATGTTGTATGGTTTGAAGACAGTGGCACAGACAAAAAGACAGGAGAAAGCCCTGGAAGTTGTAGAAATGATGATGTTGAGGTTCTCATTAGGAGTGACAAAGATGAATAAGATTAGGGATGAGATCATCAGTGGTACAGCACAGGTTGAAAAGCAGCTGCCAGGAAAAAGACAAAGAGGAGATATATGGATGCAGTTAGAGAGGACATGTAGGTCGTTGGAGTGAGGACAGAGGATGCAGAGGACAGAATGAGATGGAGGAGGATGACTCGCTGTGGAGACCCCTGAAGAGGGAAGAGCTGAAAGAAGAAGAATATTAAAATAAATAAATACATCAAAAACATTCCAGAAAGGTACAAGATTATTCAAGATTTTGTCAATTTATTGACCAAAAATGCTTGTTACAAAGAGAAAGGAAAGGACATTGTTTCTCAGTATGTGAAAAACAGTTGTTTGTTTAGTTTGCCTCTGAAGTCGTTTTGATCCATACAAGCAGTACTTTAATGTCCCCCATCTCTGAGCGACTCAAATATTAAATGTTTGTAGTTTTGGAGTTGAGTTTTTTTATGGACTGGAATATGATGATTAAATACGTTTGGCCAACAAACTTCTACGTTATTTTTCAACTACATAGTAGTAAGTGGTAGTAAAAAATAGGGTAGTAAGGGTTCAATCTCTTTATTTTACAACAGTATTTTTGACTGTGCATTTGGTGTTACCCCCAATAACTGCTCTTAATAAATCTCTTTTTTTGTTGCCCAATAATGAAATTGAAATGTCCACCCTTGGCCAAACAAACTGGGTGAAAGACGATGCAATTTATCTCAGTTTTGAGACACAAACTGTATAAAAGGTGTAACTGTAAAGTTAGAAAAACAAGAACTTGGCAACAACAGAGTTAGCGGCAGTCAGTCCAGATGTTTTTTTATTTTACCTCTGTAGTCCAACGTGTCCTCGGTGAATGCTAACATGGAAGGGAACACACTGCTGATGCACAGTCCCAACACACAGGTCCCCACGAAGAGGAGCATCCAGCTGGTGTAGAAGATCATCAGCACACACTGGACCAGCACGACTCCACCCTGACAGACAAACACACACATCTCTGGACCAGTATGACTCCATCTATGAGACCCCCCCCCCCCCCCCCCGATAAATTGTAGGGATGATGTTCAACTACTACCACAACAAACATCAGGCATGATGAGAAGATGTTTCATTGAGTTTAGACTGAGAGGCAGCAGTGGTTGGATCAGTAATGACCGTCCTCCCACTGTCTTACTGTCCTCCCACTGTTCTACTGTCTTCCAACTAGTCCTCCCACTGTTATATGGTAAATGGACTGTGCTTATATAGCACCTTTCTATCTTATTTCAAGATACTCAAAGCGCTTTACACTACAATCTGTATCCTCATTTACCCATTCATACAACACTACTAGATCTCTACAAAGCTAATTAAACAAATCATTCTAAAGAGACTAATCAGTGCTTTACCACATTCATACACTGATGGGACACACATCAGAGGCTATGAGGGGTTCAGTGTCTTGCCCAGGGGCACTTTGACATGTGACTGCTGCTGGATTTGAACCCCCAACTCTCACATTGAAGGACGACTGCTCTAACCACTCAGCCACAGCCGCCCAAAGTCTCCCACAGTCCTCCAACATTCCTCTCTCTGTCCTCCCACAGTCCTCTTTCTGTCCTCCCACAGTCCTACTGTCTTCCAACTTGTCCTTCCTCTGTTCGCCCACAATCCTCCTACATAACTCTCACTGTCCTCTCACAGTCCTATCTCTGTCCTCCCACAGACCTCTCTCTGTCCTCCTGCAGTCCGCTGTCGGTCCTCCTACTAGTCCTCTCCCTGTCCTCCCACAGTCCTCTCAATGTCCTCCTACATTCCTCTCACTATCCTCCTACAGTCCTCTCTGTCCTCCCACAGTCCTACTGTCTTCAAACTGGTCCTCCCTCTGTTCTCCCACAATCCTCCTACATAACTCTCACTGTTCTCCCACAGTCCTCTCTCTGTCCTCCTACAGTCTGCTGTCTGTCCTTGCACTAGTCCTCTCCCTGTCCACCCACTAGTCCTCTATGTGTCCTCCTACAGTCTTCCCTCTGTACTCCCACATACTTCTCACTGTCCACCTACAGTTCTCTCACAGTCCTCCCACAGTCATCTCTCTGGACTCCTACATTCTTCTCACTGTCCTTCTACAGTCCTCACTCTGTAATCCTACATACTTCTCTCTGTCCACCCACAATCCTCTCTCTGTCCTCCCACAGTCCCCTCTCTGTCCACCCATAGTCCTCTCTCTGTCCCCCTATAGTCCTCTGTCTGTCTTCCCACAGTCCTCTCTCTGTCCTCCTACAGTCCTCTCTCTGTCTTCCCACAGT